CACCCAAGGAAGGTACTACGGGGATGAACAGCCTTGATTATTTGGTGGCAGGTGGCACAGTAAGACCCACTGTGTTTTGAGGATTCAAAAGGAGAGCTCCTGTAGCCTCCCTTTGAGTTGATCACTAAGGAAGGAAGGGATAACACAGGCACAGTAGAAGAGAGAACAATGAAGCCAGGGCTGACCGTGTTGCTGGGGCCACTTACCATCCTAGAAACTGAAACCCACAAAATGCAAATGTGGAGCACTTCATACCAGGCTTGAACCTACAGGAGCAGGGTCAGCACCTCTGAAGAGTCACAGCAGCTTCCAATACTGTCAGATTACGCCAATGACGTCTCAACAGACGGGGCAGTAAGCAACAGTGGAAGCTCCAGAGTGATCAGGCCCCAGAGGAAGCCCGTCCTCTGTAGACAGAGCGCTGACCTGCACCTCCCTACCTCCACATTAGACCCATGAGCACAGAGATTTCAGAGTAATTCAGAGGGCAAAAGGACAGCTCGAAGGAAAGATATTAGATTTCATTTCAATAAAGCAACAGATGCTCAAACGGAATAAAAATAAATTTTAAGAAAAAACAATAGACTGAGCCATACTTGAAGCTTGAGCTTTAGAAACAATTCATGCTAGTTATATACAGTATGTATTTCTATTTTGGTTTGTGCATGCTTTTATCCATTAAAGTACAACATAGAGTGCTTTAATGCTGTCAATTTGGGCTAAAAACCTTTCCTTTTTTGGTATGCAAAACAACTTTTTAAGGATAAAAGCGTTTCCAAAAAACAGGCTGATTTATATGCCAGATGTAAGCAACACTGCTTCTCTCCTAGTTACATTTTGTTGTTTGTTACCATAAACCTTCTCTCATAGGAGTTCATAGAGAGTTTATAGTGAATCACAAAAGTATCAGGATTCTAAACTATCAGGGTTAGCTGGTTTTTCTGATTCTTCTAATATCCATTGGTCCTTTTGGTCTTCACTAAAGGTGAATCACAAAGTGTTTGGCAAGTAGCTCTGTGCTGATGGAAATCTTTCTTCAGTAATCCTTTATTTGTACGTGACCAGTATTTCTCACCATAATAGATCACGTAATACTACTTAATCAAGTTAGAAAAAGCCTTTGGAAGAAAATGAGCTTAAATTTATTCTGTAACAAATAATGCTATAGTTTTGATACTGGGCATAAGAAGGCAACATACAAATGTTTAAGCGGTACGTAAGTTATGTATATAAAAGAATGCAGGTAAGCAATCAGATGATAAATCAAAGAACTAATAGGACTTGTACTTTCAGTTATGACAGGCTTACTGACACCAGACTTGCCTCCCACCAAAATACAGCAATAAAACTAGTTAAAAATGTATGAGGCAACTGTTTTCAAGCAATGGACAGGAAACAAAGAACTTTTATCACTGAAATAAGGGAAACACCCCTTGTGTCCCGACTTGGACAAAGCTTTCTGGGCCACAGCACAGGGAAGTGGAACCTAAGCAGAACCCTGCAGTCTCACAGTGCTGAAGAGCCAGTGATCACAGTGTGGCTGGCTGAAGCAGCTGGAAAATGCAGGACAAGGTACCAAAGAGGAAAAAGCTGTAAGAGTTGTAAAGAGCGGCTTAATAAACAACATACTGGAGAGCACATAGGAGCACAAAAGCTGTTACTGGAGCAGAAGACAGACGGATATCATTCAAGCTTCAGATGAAGAAGAAATAAAGATTTAAAAAAAAAAGAACAAAGCCTTAGTGATCTGCGAAACATTATCAAATGAACTAATGTGTGTAACCAGAGCGGAAAAATATATAAAGAAATAATGGCAGAAAACTTCCCAATTTGGGAATTAAGAAAAGCCCACACAGGATAAACATAAAAATCTGACAGTGGCACATCATAGACAAACGCTAACACCCAAGACAAAGAGACCACTTTTAATGTATCCACTTCACAGACATACTACTGATCATGCTGTTGCTTACCCTAGACTTCTTACTATTAATAAGAGCTTTTGCAATTTCAAAGAGTAACAGTTAAATAGATAGGAGATTCAATATAAATTAATCCTATACCCTAGACAGCTGTTTTAAGCCTTTGGAGCAGCTATGTGACATGGATATCTTTCAGTGACAGTTCACAGAAGCCAACTAGAGCTGGCTTAAGCACAGAGTCTAAGGGCCTTCGGAACAGAATCAGTGATTGGAAAATGACAGAAAACTTAGAAAGTCTCTGCTTCCATCTTCTTTCTATGTATCTGCTTCACCTTTTTCTCTTTGTTTCCCAGTCCATGCAGTTACTACCAGACCTCACAAGATTACATAGTACTATGCAGAAGCCTTGAGAGAAAGAGAGCCTGATTTTGTGTTTTGGCCTCCTCTGCTCTCTCTCCTTCTCCCCTACCAGCCTCCTTCAAAATTCCAAGGAAGAGGACTGGTTCTGCTTGGGTCAGGTACCAACACTTGGACCAATCAACGGAGAGAGAATGAAAGAGAAAGCAATGTCACAAGGTAGAAAGATGGCAGTACTCCACAACCCAACTGAATGAGGGAAGGGACATTCCCAAACAACGGGTATTGACAAACAACCCAAGAGAATCAACCATATGAGTCATGGATCTGTTTAGGAAATGGATAAAAACACTGGACCTTCTTCACAGCCATATGCACATACTCACAAACAACAGACTGTCTGTACAATTTGAGGGTGTTCAGGAAACCCTTGAAATCCATTCTTAGATCCTAATTTTAAAACTCTATTATCCATCTAGGTATTTTAAGTGCTTCAAAATTTTCAAATATTGCTCTTAAATTTTCAAATTTTAAATATTGAATATGAACTTACATTCAAAGGTTTTTAATACACATAAAATGTTGCATCTTTCACAGGAATATAACACATAAGAAGTCTATACTGATAGCATGGACTAATTAGAAGAGGCTAAGAGTCAGATATCAGCTGGTGTCCACAGTCATCAAATGGAGACAAAATGGCAGTCCTTCACATTTTTTACTACAGTTAGAATATTTTTCCGTAGTATGTCCCCAAACACAGTCAAACATTTGGGGGATGTGTAGCTAGCCCTCTCCCATTCAAATCATAACACTTGAAATAACCTCAAAAAGAGAGATATAAAGTGAATCAAAAAATTAGTAAGATCTATTCATTGCTACTCATGATGGCCTAGGAAAAAAAATCAATACTTAGTTTAATCAAAAGTTTCTACTTAAAATATATAATCGCCATTACAGTATGTAATTTTACTCAAAACAAGACCAAACACAGACAACAGACACAAGCTAGGGGAATAAAATTGGATGTAAATGCCTCAAATCTATTATGAAACAGGTGATAAATAAATTAAAAATTATATGAAAGTAGTCAGGAAACCTGTGCCCTTCACTGGTTATTCGGAAGCAGTCAATGACATTAGTAGTACATTCCTTAAGCCTCTGAGAGTATTTAATGGAAGGAAATGGCCACATTTTACCACAAAATATTCTTACATTACAGGCAAAGACAGAATAACAGAACACAAAGAACAACATTTTAATAGAAAGTTGTATTACTCATATGTTTTTTAACTGTATAGAAACAGAGGCTTATGAATACAGTGTTATAGCCATGCATTTTGATTCTACAATATCTCATGTATAAGTTTCATATATGCAAATACTATGAAACTGTAAAGTATTATCTTTGCTGATACATTTTAGACAATCTCTGAAAGAGAATCTAATTTCCTGAGTATGTAAAAATATAAACTTGATGAAAGCTAAGATGATAAAATATCATTGAGCCTGATTACATGCAATAAAATTTAAAAGAAAGATCATATTCCTAGCCATATTGAAAATTTTTGTATTAAGAACAGTCATAAAAAGTAATACACTTATATGAGACTGAAAAATATTTTAAGCTGAGCCAACTGCTATACTAGTACCATTTTTATAAATAATATTGAACCTATACATTAAAGTTAGCACATAAAGTCTAAAAATTAATCTGCTACTATGCTTCATTTAGAAATTTCTGTACTTGAAAAACTTTGGAGAAAGTATTTTTTAAAGCATAAATTCATGGATTTAACATGAATAGTTTTTAACATTTTCACGTGACTCTGAAGTTCTATGACAGGTAGTAATTTGTAATTTTGGTTGAGTCACATATTTCACTTAGATACACTAAAAGACTAGTTGGTTTTCCTGAGTTACTAGGTAGAAATAACCCAACCAATATGAGTGACATTTTTTCCTGCTCATTTTTGAATGCAGAGTAACTTTTATGAACTACCTGAAGCACAAGTTGTTGCACTTTTTAAAAATCATTCTCCACTTTTTTTTTAATATGGGAAATGACACAGGGCAGTGGAATCTGTAATCTGTAAATGTGTGGATCACAAAGGAACATCTCTGAATAACCCTGGCAAGAAAGTCAAAGGGTTTGATGGCAGCTCAGGAGAATGCAGGGTTTTGGTACTGTCTATAGGTACATTATAATCTAATAGGATCATCAGTAGGCAAAACTGACAATTCTAGGACTCAAACTTAAATTCTGCTGCTAAATTCTAGCATGATTTCACATTAAATCAAAGTTAATGTACATCAGTTACCTCACTAAAGAATGAGAGAAAACCCTGTTTATGTATCTGCTTTTTGGATACTAAAATGATTACATCATGCAAAGTTCATATAAATTCTCTTATGTGAAATTCAGAACAGAAGTAGATTTTTGTACAAATATTTCACCAGAGCAGTGATTTGAGGGGGCACTGATTGCAAAGCACAACTGTAGTAATTGTAGCTCAAAAACATAAATGCCACCTTCTTATGTCTGCATCAGGGAAAGACTCTTAGTCACGTTTTATCCACATTCCTTAGTGTCATCTTCAAACAAATAGACAAAAACTTAGAAATATATCCAAAGCCCACTGCCTAGACACAAAGTGAGAAATATTAATAAAAACAGATTTGCAGTATACTAGAAACTTGTGTGCTACAGACTTTGATTACCTGGAGGTAGGAATTGCAGTTGGTTGTTAGCTAATCGAAGATGACGTAAAGCTCTCAGACGACCGATTTCTGGGCAAACAATTTCTAAGGCATTGTCACTAAGATCCAAACACTGCAGTTTTACAAGGGACCCGATGGCTTCAAAGAGAAAAGAAGGATGAAGGCAAAATTAATTTGACGCAAGTGTTAAGACAAATCTTTAATTTAAGTATTCAAAGTTTAAATATTTTAATACTTAATATCCCTATTAAGTGCTCACACAATAGTAAAAACATATACCAAACTAAATTTTATAAAGTGATAACACTTCTACTTAGATGTAATATATAGTAACTTTAAAAGAGCACAAATAAAAATGTTAAAACAATGTAAAAAAATTTGCTTGAATAAATAATTCATGAAATGATACACAAGGTCTTTTTTATCTAACCAAAATGCTTAACTGGACTTATGAAACTTAAGTTGTTATCATTACTTACCTAATGACAATTTATCTGATAATAATTTATCAGGTAAGTATTATAACCATTTTAGACTTATTATTTAATTGTAACTGTTAACTGAACTTACTAATTAGAGGGGGAAAAGCTTTGAAACTAATAAAGATGCTTTATAATTAAAATTCGCTAATACACCAAACCAAAAAAGGTTTAAAGAGACAATTTGTTCTACTATTATTAAACTATAGCAACTCCTAACTAAAAACTGGAAGTACACTTACCTTCTGGAACAACAACTATGTTATTTGAGTGAAGATACCTAGAGGAAAAAAAGGGAAAAAATAGCTATTTTCATTCAATACTTCTGCTACATAATCACTTGTAAAATGCTTACTTAGTGATTGATCAAATATACAGGGACCAGAATTTCTTTCAAACCCTACTCTTAATGCATGACACAAAATATATGGTCGTCACAGATAATTAATAATACTTTGAGAATAATATTGTGTGATGGAATTGCAAATACTAAAACTATTTGCTGATTTAGTTGCCATTTTAAAATAAAAGCATGTACAGTAAATAAACTATTAGATATTTTTTCAACCTTGTAAAACAAATTACTAGTTTCTCTAGTACATTTTAAATTATTTTGGGTTTTCTAAAAAATAATATTGTGTAAAGGAAAGTGCAACTTTTCGTTTCTAGAGGATAACTTTAAAAAATAATCAAATTGAAGATATTTCAAGCCAGCATGGAGAACCAAGAATGGAGAGATTAAATACTCATCATTTACAGAATTTGTAGAAATACTCAACTGTCAAGGAACAGAATTTATTTCACAGCAAAAGGAATTCTGTAAATAAAAAAACAAATTCTTTCGGGGTTGGGGGAGGGGGAAGTCTACCCGGCTGACAAGTCCAGGCAAGCCTAAGTAAATAACACTTTTCCCACTGAAGCGTCTTTAGCACCCTCTGGTGGAGGCTTCATGCAATCAGCAGCAACTCTTTCAGAGTAAAATTGCGACCAATGAAAATCATATAGTAAAAAGTTTAAACATTAAATTTGTATCATTTATTTTGAGACCAAAGAACTAGATTTTGATAAACTATTTTCAAACCTATTGTCTTATTTACTTTATCTTATAATCAATGTAGTACTTTTTAAATAGAATTTGTTCTTCTGTATTTCTAAGCCTAATGTCAAGTGTTAAAATAACAATGACATAGAATAGGAAAGGTACAAAGTTAATAAATTTAAGATTTTCCTATGCTGGATTAAATCAATTTGGTGTAGGTATTAACTGCTGGGCCTGATGAAATTTAAATAATTATACCATTCTATGATATATTTTATTCCTTGCTTTGTGTACATGAAATGATTCCATATTTTAAAATCAATATTCTTTAAACATTACTTTTAGGAAGGAATGCCTACTTTACCAAATTCTTTATGTCAAAAGACTATACACAAATACATATATATATATATATATATACACACACACATAAATAAATATACACACATAGACATAGACGTATGCACACATTTGCACCTGTTAAACAAAAGGCAGTGTCTAGATACCAAAATAAAGATAACTGATTTTTTAGTAATCCACAAAATAATTGCCTCAACTCGAATTCTACCCATAAAAAAGGACCCTAAAATGTCCAAGTCAAAATACAAACTAAAGTACTCATTAAAATTATCATTAAAATCAAAAGGTATATTTCAATACATTAAACTTATCTACACTATAGTAAAGAAGCAGTAATAGACAGTAGTATAGAATGTTCTCAATCCTGACTAAACGTTAGAATCACCAGTTGTCTTCAAAATGTAGGTGTCCACAGCCATCCCACACCAAGTGAAACATCAACTCAAGTTATTCTGACACGCGGCTGATGGAGAATCATCACTGCTAGAGCATATCAGAAAGCGTGCTCTGGAGCCAGGCCGCCTGTACTTTAACAGCCACGTGACTCAGGGAAAATGACTAAACTTCTCACTTTCTTATTCTACAGAAGTGGAGGATAACAGCACCAACAACACAGGGATGTTGTGAGGATTAAGTGAATCAGTAAGTGTAAAGCCCTTCGAACAGTCAGAGCTCCATGAATGCCACTGTTATTGTTATAATCATTACTGTTATCATGAGTCATTTGTAATCAAAGGCTTAGCAATTTTAAGCCACTTGTCTTTACTTAATTTTTATAATATCAGAGTAGCTAAAATGTTGGTGTTCAGCGTAACTGGTTTTCAGTAGAAGTTTCATTGTATTTCTACTCAAAGAATGCAGGAACTCTCATTCATTGCTGGTGGGAACGCAAGGTAGTACATCCACTTTGGAAAATAGTTTGGCAGTTTTTCATCGAAATGAAATATCGAATTTACTTAATAGTAATGTGCCCATGTCATTTCCTCTATATCACATCCTATGCAAAAATTAACTCAGAATGGATCAAAGACCTAAATGTAAGAGGTAAAACTATACAACTCAAATAAGAAAACAGGGGTAAATCTTCATGACATTGGATTAGAAACAGTTTCTCAGATATGATAATGAAACACAAGCAACCAAAGAAAAAATTATCAAGAAAGTGAAAGATAAACCACAGAATGGGGGAAACTATCTGCAAATCACCTATATAATAAGGGTCTATTACCCCAAATATAGAAAACATTCTTAGAACTAAACAATAAAAGACAAATAATTTTTAAATGGACAACAGATTTGAATAGACATTTCTCCAAAGAAAATAAACAAACGACCAATAAGCACATGAAAAGACATCATTAGTTATTAAAAAATACAAAAGAAAACTACACAAGATACCAATTCACATCTACTAGGATAGCTATACCCAAAAGGACAGAAAACAACAAGTGCTGATGACAATGTGGAGAAATCTGAATCCTCCCACATTGTTGGTGGAACTGTAAAGTGGTGCAGCCTCTGTGGAAAACAGGGTGGCAGTTCATCAAAAGGTTAAACATAGGGTTACCACTGCAATATTCCATTCCTGGGTATAAACTCCAGAGAACTGAAAACATATGTTCATACACAAACTCCTACATAAACATTAACAGTTGTATTATTCACCATAGCCAAAATGTGTAAATAACCCAAATGTCCATCAACTGAAGAATGGATAAACAAAATGTGGTGTATACACACGGTGGAATATTATTCAGTCATAAAAAAGGAATGAATTTGGAAACATTCTACAACATAGATGTCACACGCTGTGTTAAAGTAGCCAGGCATAAATGTTCACATATTGTAGGATTCCATTTATATCAAATGTCCAGAATAAGTACATTCATAGAAATAGAAAGTAGATTGTTGGTCACCAGGAAGTTACTAGGGATTGGGGAAGAGGGAATGACTGCTAATGGGTTTCTTTTGGAGTGATGAAAATGTTCTGGATTAGACAGCAGTAATGGTTGTTCCACCTTATGAATATTCCAAAATCACTGAATCATACACTTTAAAAGGGTGAATTTTATGGTAGGTAAGTTATATCTCAATTTAAAAAATGAAACATGCAATTACCATATGACTCAGCAATTGCACTCTTAGGCATTTATCTCAGAAAAATGAAAACTTATTCACATACACAAAAACCCAACAAAACCACGTACACAAATGTTCACAGCAGCTTTATTCATAATAGCTAAAAACAGGAAATAACCAATATGTCCTTCAACGGTTGAATGGACAAACTCTATTACATCCGTATATGAAATATAACTCAGCAACAAAAAGGAACTATTGGTACATGCAACAACTTAAACAGATTTCAAGGGAATTATGCTGAATGAAGAAAAAGCCAGTCCTGAAAGGTTACATACTATATGATTTATATAACACAACAAGTTAAAACAACAAAATTACAGAGATGGAGAACAGAGTAGTAGTTGCCAGGATTTGGGAGACAAGGGGAGTGTGATTGTAAAAGGGGGAGTGTGATTATAAAAGGGTAGACTATGATGAAAACTGAGTAAGATCAATGGGTTGTAGCAACATCAACTTCCTGGTGGTGATCTTATACTATAGTTACGCAAGACATGAACACTGATGGACTCTCGAAGGGTACACAGGGATGCTTCTGTATTATTCCTTACAATTCATGTGAATCTACCATCATCTCAAGTAAAAAGCTTGATCTTTAAAAAACGAGAAATAAAGACTTTATTCAGGGAAATCTGAGAGACTAATATAGGAACTAATATAAAAGATACTTTTCTAACTTTTAAATTAACAATTTAAATGCAAAATTATAATAGTGCATTTTGCCAGTTATCAGTTTGGTCTCTCAGCTCCAAACCTACCAGCTATGCCATACTGGAGATGGACTCTGTGAAAACTTCTCCTTTGCCAACTGTTCTAATGTTAGGCCTAATGTTATCAAAAGAGGGTACTGGAGTGACTGTGCAAGATGATAGTAGGAGGACGGCACTCCCCTTCTGCATCCAGTCCCCTTTCAAATCTTTATTCAGCAAAGAGCCAAAGTCCAGTGGCACTCATCTCAGCAGCCCTTTTGAACAACCTTAAGCCACATGCTTAAAACTATGAACTCCCCGTGCAGAAGGCACTTTTGCAGCAGCTCTGGCTGTTACCCTCAGGCCACACTCCACCCATCCAACAATGTACTTCTATAAACAACTTCAACTGACCTCAAGCAACTGTCTTCCCACCCTGTGGCCATAGGTCTGCCTACATGAACAGTATGATCATGATAATAAAAATAATTAACACATTAAAATTATATTTCCTATTATTTCAAAACCTTAAAATTATCTCATTCTTGTTTAAAAAAAATGAATAAACAGACTCACAGTTCCACAAGGTTTGGGAGCTTCTGAGCAAGGTTTTCTGGCTGAAAATTAAAAACTCAGAATTAAATTTTATTTTTGAAAAATGTATAAACATTTCTAAATAGCTTAAACACACAAAAAACTACCTTTTTGAAGGGTGTAAAGTTTGGGAAAATAAGAAAATACTATGTGAGAAAATGTGAAAATACTATGTCAGTAGGTCTGGGTTAATGTTTACACAGACCATACTACAATTTAAATTTATATTTTGAACACTTAAAATCCATGTCCTTTGGAGAAACCAGACCTCATATTCCACGGTGACAGAAGAAATGAAACTGTTTCTAACAGACAGAGGGAATAACACCGTGTGATGCCAGAGCCAGCGATTCTGGAGTCATGCAATTGCAAAGCCAAAAAATACCACTGGCAACCCACAGAAGCTCGGGGAAAGGGACAGATTCTTCTTCAGAGCCACGAGAAGGAACCAGCCCTGCCAACACGCTGATTTTGAGCATCTAGCCTTCAGAACTGTGAGAGAATAAACTTCTGTTGTCTTAAGCCACCTAGCCCATGTAATTTATTACAGCAGCCCTAGGAAACTAATACCTACCCCCTACCTCACCAAAATCCCAAACTGTGCTCCTCAGAAGAAAGTAGTGGAAATCCTGAGGGGCCAGAAACCAAGACCTCACCTAGCTCAGGACAAACAGATTAGGCTGGAGAGCAGGTGGTCTACAGGGGTGGGTGTCACATAAGGCCCAGGTTCCAAGTTCACAGTAGGGGCGCGGTGCGGCAGGGACAGGAAACTGGCTATTGGGAGGAGAGGAAGCTCCCTTACGGATCTAAGTCCCTTGCAGAGTCACAGCCCTGAAGGACTGGCTATTCCATGAGAAGAATCCTAGAAAAATTCCACTCACAGATTGAAAGCAGACTGCTTTCTGCTGGAGGCACTGGGTAGCAGGAAAAGCCTGTTAATAACTGAAAGCCAGCCTGCATAGCTCACACAGACATATGCGTGCGCGCGCACACACACACACACACACACACATGCTGGGTTCAAATTTATACAAACACAAAGACAGGAGTTGTTAAAACTGAAGAAGCACACTGAATCAGGAGTCATTTTTTTTTATTCTACATTAAAAACATACTGTAGAGTAGGCTAGGTATCAGTTACAAAGAATGAAGAATCGCTTTTTAAAAGAAGTTAGGTTTGACTTGAGTCCTGAAAGACAAATACAAACTAGCAGAGTTTGCCATGGAGCGGGGAGGAGGACATCCCTGGTTAGCTTTCTAGGTACAAGAAGCAACACGTGAAAACGCAGAAGAGAGAGAGGGATGCTTGGGAAACTGCAGATAGAATCTATTCTGCTCTAACTCCCCAACAGTACTCATGATGAAATGTTGTAGTTTCAAAAATCCGTTATAAAAACAATTGTGTAAGTAGAAAAAAGTTTGGGGGAGTATAAAGTTTTGGGTTTGTAATAAGTAATTTTTCACACAGAAACTTAGAAACAGTGATTATCATTAAGAAAAGGACTAATGTTGTGATTTGCCATCTACTGTTGTATCATTTGAATTTTTAACAATGAGCATGTTATGTCTTCTATAATTAAAAAAATTAAGTTTTAAAATGTAATATAAAATGCACAGGATAAATTGCTACATAATTGAGTAATCAATTACATGCAATTGGGGTTCTAAATACTGAATAAGAAAAATGCCATTAGTTTGGTATTCCTGAGCCATAGGATATGAAAGTATATGATTTTGCAGAGAGTAGCAAGGAACAGATCACTGAGGGCTTATATAATATGCTAAGGAAAAACTTTTTAAAAAATCTTGAATACAATGGAAATCCACTGGTCTATTTTAAACAAGGAAATGAAATTTTATTGGCATATTGATGTATTTAAATACTTAACAACAGTATCCCAAGCTACTGACATATATAATATCCTTGCCCTTTTATAATAACCAAATACCATTGAATATGAATATCGTTATGAAGTCACTGAAGCATTTATTGAGATGCCACTTTTGATAAAACCATTTTTAGTTTTCAAATGCTGAAAGCTGTGATTCCTTTTCCTCCATGTTTTCACATCAATATCTGCAATGAGGTCCTTCAAGACAAGTCTTTCCTCAAATATTGCTCTTGTATCTGTCCAAATCCCCAAAATGTTTCTTTTAGTAGCAGTATCTTCCTGAGTAAGAGGAATATACACTCCCACTTACGGGCATACTTACAAAGCATCCCAGGCAAACTAAAGCACTCTGGGGGAGAGGGGAGGTAAGAGGCTTAATAGCTTTTCTTCTAAAAAAGGAAAGACTTGTCCAGAAAAGAAATGCTTTTAGACTCTCTTTAGTTTTATCTGTTACAGTATCAATATATCTGGCCAACTAAAGGTCCCATGGTCACTCTTTCCAGATGCCTACTTGGCTCTCTCAGAAAGTATTACAATTTTTCCGTGACAAACTAGTTAGCTCTTTTGAGCTATTTAGCTATGCACACAATTAAGCACTAAATAATGTTTCGGCTGCCAATAGTGTGCCACTACCTCCTTATTAATGAGTAAGTACACTGTGTTTTAATTTAAAAATAAGCACATCAACCTTGAGAAGATTGCAGTTCATTACAACACTGGGTTTTTTTTAAAAAACACACGCTTGTTAGCACCTGCCCCCAAAGCCTGGCAAATCATCAGCTTGCTGCACAGGCTGTGGCTGACACCTACTGGTGTTCTATAATACCACGCTCTGCTTTCCGGCATCATATTTTAGCAACGTAACTAAATAATGTAAGAGAAACTTCAAACATTTTAATTTTTTTACTTCCATAGTTTATGTGAAGTGAGTACAAGTCTGGATAACGATACGTTAACACCAACATTTTTGTTACTCTGTGTGTAACTAAGCCCTAATGCGGGATTACAGATGCCACACAAACTAGTTTATCTTGATCCATAGAATTTAGTCTATTAAGTTTTCAAATGTTTTTAAATTTTAAAATCCTGATAGATGAAAGCAATAATATTAAAATGCCTTGCAAAACTGCTCTTTTTATTTCCTTCTTTTTCACAATTTTGACTTACAAAAATTTTAGTAAACAACCTGTACCTAAACTCCTTGAGTATTAATACTTCCTACTTAACTACTTGAAAATTGCTTTATGAATTAAGCCAAAATTCTCTTCATTATATTTCACACTATCACTTAAACAATTTTTCTTTACAAATAATGTAAAAGTAAACCTTAGCTAGCACAGTTAGTATAAAACTTGCCTCAAATCTTGAATCAATCATGCTCTCCTGTATCCTTTTACAGAAACTTTCAATTCCCTTAAATGGGGATATTTTAGAATTATGTATCTTGAAAGAAACATTTCAAATACTTTGCAAACAAATGTTCAATTGTGTTCTCTTGTAGTCACTCTGCACCACTTACTTTCTTTCCTTCTCCTCTGGGTACCTGGTAGGATTACATTTCTCTCTTCAAGCTGGACATAGCTATGCAACTTGCTTTGGCCAGTGGAAATACGTCAAAGTGGAGGCCTTAGAGAAACTGAGCACAAGAGGTCCGCAGTGACCTTTGTCAGTCTTTATCCCTGAGTAAAGATACTATGAACCGAAGTCCCCAAGAGACCTAACAGAGTAGTGCAGTGTGAGCTAGAAATCATTGTACTGTTACAAACCACTAGGATGCAGGGTTCAGCAAACCCTGCTGCATCCTACCTCTTAACAACATATTTCAAAGAAGTCACAAATTAAATGCAGAGTTCTTATAGCAATTATAAAAAGCAGAATGAAGTCAGACCTCTACCTCACACCATATACAAAAGTTAACTAAAAATTAACTAAAAATGGATCAATGACTTATATCTAAGAGCTAAAACCATAAAATTCATAGAAGAAAACATATGGGTAAATCTTCATGATCATAGATTTGGCAATGGATTCATAGATATGAAACCAAAAGCAGGAGCAACAATAGAAAAAAATAGGTAAATTGGACTCCTTCAAAATTAAAATTTTTTATGCATAAAAGGATATTTCAACAAAGACACTCAACTTCACTAGCATTAGGGAAATGTAAATCAAAAGCATAATGAGATACCACTTCAAAACCGTTAGGATGGCCATAGTTTTTGCAAAATGTAAAGTAACAAGTGTTGACCAGGATGTGGAGAAATTGGAACCCTTGTACAATGAGAGTGAAGAGAGAAATATGTAGAGAAATATGTACAGGATGATTCTCTTCTGTTGTTTAAAAAGGGAAAAAATATACAGTATATAATTATATAAATATAGCAAAGGAATGAAAAAGGACACAACCAAACTGCTAACACTGTTATTCCAAAGTACAGAACTGAATAAACAGAAATGAGATTCCTATTTTCCATATATTCTTCTATGTTGTTTGATATAAGGGCATCATTCCTGTATGTATCATTTTTACATGTATATATCATTGTAAAATTTTAGATCACTTTTGTATGTATAATATGAAAAGTTTATTCCTATTAGTATATAGAAAAGGTTTTCCCTCTGCTTTAGTTTTGATATGGGCTTTCACCAAGTTCTGAGCATCTGACATATAATCATCCTACAAATACAAACCACCGTGCGACACCAAGCAACTTGAAAGGAAAAAGGAAGGACAGAGGTCAGGCATTAGTGACTTCTCTTCTCGCCAAGAGGCTTCATATGATGAGGGGCAGGAAAGAAAGGAGAAGAGGAATGTTAAGAGAGGGCATTTAAACAAATAAAACAATGTTAATAAGAAATAATTAAACAATGTGGAAATGGAAATGGTTGGCAGGTTCCCAAGCTTCTTTTCGGGAAAAAAAAAAAAGGTCAATTAACTTTTAATATGTTTGAGTTTGAGATACTATATGCTTCCAATAATGTATTTTTTCCCTTTGGACAGTATTGTAGTTTCTTTTTTTTTTTTTTTTAGTATTGCAGTTTCTTAAAACTCAAACTTCACATACTAAATCTCTATATTGCTATACGAAATGTACTTTATCAGTAACACCAGCAACATTTAAAAGCCTGAAGTCACTGGTTTACAGCACTCTAGGGCAAGTACTATTTCACCTGCTTTCAAAACCTGTGCAGTAAGCCATTCCCTGAATATACTCACTAAAAGTAAGCTGTCTTATACTCGGTATAGTCAGAGAATGGGATGACTGCTACCATTCCCACCATCCCGATATCTGCATGGCATTTTAGTTTATAAAGCTCCTTGATACACATGCATCAAATGTTCCAGCTAAAAGAAAGCATTAAAATAAAATACATACACCTATCATTATAAACATATGCAACAATTTAATCTTCAATGAAAAAGGTGGCAAACTATGAACTTAAAAAGTATGCCATTATAGCAGTTAAAATTGTGTAGTAGATACTTAAATATTTTCATAAAGAGAAAACTGCAGCTGAGAAACTGCCACAAAACCAAAAGTTTATTGTAAATTTTAAAAGCAAAGGTCAATTTCTCTGAGCAAAGTCTACACCAGTGGACCATGACTGATAGTTAAGAAGTAATTCATTTACAGCTTTTTCTTTGTATGTCAAAAACAAGCACGAGAAAACCTGGGCAATAGTCCTTGATAAATTATTTCTTACACCACTTCTTCTCCAAAGGTGGGGAAAACACTAGATAAATACAGTTTCACCTCATGCAATGATGATTTTGCTAAAGGATTAATATAACTGTATATAGACTATTAAAGTTTGAAAAGTGAAAAATCTAATTTAAAAATCTAACTAGGCTTGCAAAATAACATATATACCAATATGCCAAACAGTAAAAATCAAAGGTATATTTCCACTTACTTTCAGACACAGCAAAGATAAACAAATTTTATAATGCCTTCTACCGATTGCAGGTATTTTACACACGTTAAATAAAATTTTCCAGGAAAACACTCCACATATAAAATGAAGCCAGAAAGGTACACTTTCAGATATTTAGCAAGTCCAATATAGAGAAGGGAATGAAGAATGGGTCCATTCACAAAGAAACAAGACATTATAAATCATCCAAATGAGTACGAACTAGAATTCAGTGTAAAACTCAAATGAAGCTAAGTGATAACCAAAAAAGGCCACATAAAGCAAATCCATTTAAAACAGAGACCAAATTTCACAGTAAATAGTGGGAATAAAAAGTTTTACAGGGACAGTTTCTTGAAAAAATTTGTTTTTTTAATCTATATGTAACAAAATTTAGGTTATAATGGTAACTATGTGCTTATTTTTAGAATATTAAAAAGTGAATCAAATGTTGGCTTTTTTTGGCAAAAATTTTTCCAACACATTGGATGACAGCTCAATTCAAAGTCATTTGATTTTCATAGTACAATTATAAAGAAGGTTTTCTGGTTTTTGGTTTGGGGTTTTTTTCAAAACACTCAAAAGCTACATCAAGCATCCTAATGCCTGTCTTAATATTTTAATCTTTAAATCATCCTCTCTTTAAATACCTCTAAATCATCCTTATTGGTCTTTCTCTTCTTTACTTTTTAACTGGTTTACTGGGTTTTGTTAACATCCATAAACCATCTAGGAATCCAACATACAAAGAAAGCACAGGCCCAGACAGATGCACAGGTTAAGTGAAGAGAGGCTTCTGAATGGGAACTAATTTTGTAAGTGGTACACTACTGAGTATTTTGCTTTCCTACACAACTCCTGCAACCTCATAACTGCAGGAACGTGGGTAGTGAATTCTCACCTAATGAGAATGCCCTTTATGTGTATTTTTATTACCTGTTTACACACAACAAGAGGTAATATATATCTTGATCTGAATATCTTAGCATATGAAAAATATATCTTGGTCAGGATCACATTATAAATGGCTTTTTTAAAAAAATGCAATATAATACTATACCAAGGTTGTAAGGGAGTTCCTTTTCATATAGAGTCTCTCCAAGTACTGTAGTCCCTCATCTTTCAGTAACTCCAATGGGAAATGCTGCAGATTCCTGTAATTTAAGAACAAATTCTTGTGCTTTTCCAGCCTTGCCACAGAGATCGTCTTACAAAGTTCGGATGCCATGACTGAAAATATCCCATCAGGCAAGCTGCGGCACTACATCTTCTTAAAATCCACTTGATTCATTTCTAAACAAAACAAAAGAACTTAAAATTATAATATTGCTAACAAATGCTGCCAAAGAAACCAGTTAGCATATACAGCTATCTGCATTCGAAAGAGAGAGTTATACATCAATTTCTCTATTTTTCTCTCATAACAACTATATTTTCACATATATTGAGGAGATTAAAATGAGTAATTATTTAATAAAAATACTCTCACTATTTAAGCAATATTTACTACTTAGTAGGAATAGTCCTATTTGAAAAAACAGTTCTTGAACTTGAGATATGAATTCCTATCTAAGAGAAGAGACCAGTTTCATAACATGCAACCAAAGGAAGAGCTTAAAAATCAGACACAATAAACCCATTTCCTTCTTGAACTACTTCATCTTGTCTTTCGCTTAAGATATTTCAAAAATATTTAAATACACATAAAATATAACTAGATCACTTACAACTTCATTTCCTTCACTTCTTACTTTCTAAATATTGTCCTATATTCTAATATTTTCTTTCTTTCTTCTTAGCTCTGCAGATGATCAGAAGTGAAATGAAACAGGCCTGGGAATATATAGTTTTACTTTATTCTTTCAGAGAAAGAAATACTATACCAGGAAATTAGAATCCTGTTCTTTTCTACTACAATCTCCCTTGGCCTTAGTTGCCTAACATACAAAATGGAGACAGAAGGGTCAGAACCCAGAACAGATTAACTTCCCTTCTAGCTCTGAATTGACAAGGATATGAAGAGAAATAACACTAGTCATCTTATCCACTAGGCACAGGGCAGAAACTAACTTCACAATCACTTGCCGTAAGAAGAAACAAACACTGAGCTTCCATAATTTGTCCAAGGTCAAACAGCTCAAAAGGGAACAAGGATTTTTTTCTTGAGCTGGGGAAGGGTGCCCAGTGGATTTCAAAGCCTGAGGTCTTTACATACAGTCTCACAGGGTCCCACAGGATACTAAGGAAATGCTGAAACACTAAAAAGAAGTTCAGCTTTGTTTAAAGATTCTACTCTGTTTTTTCTGGGCACCCGTTCTCAAACTCTCCAAAGGAACGTACCTTTCAAAGAAAACTGTTTTTCTTAAGAAAAACTATTTTCCCTGGCAATTAACACCAAGTTAGTGCAAAATGTAGCAACATAAGCTTTCAATAACCAGTTTTGTAACTTTTTGGTTATTTTCTGTTATTTCCAAACTCTAATTCCTAGTAAGAAAGCACCTGCCATTTTATACAAAAGGGCAGAGAGTATGGAATATTCAATAATATTCCAATGCATCATGAGTCCAATACCTTCCCATATTTATTCTACCTACTTACCTATTTTTATGAGACATTATTATGTGGCTCTGAACAAGATATTCAATCTTTCTACAACTTAATTCTTTCTCTGTAAAGCAAGGTGAAATAGACTAGAAATATTGATGATGCTATGTGGAAAGGGAGGCTTTCTGGGTAATTTGATTATTCACTTAAGTGGTAAACTGGAAGCAGTTTAGATGTCTCACAAGTATCTCAAACTTAACACATTCAAAAGAGAGCTTTTGATTTTCATTACCAATCCAAATCTTCCGCACCCTTTCCAGCCACCCAGAAAGCCGGAAGTCATGAATGATTCCATCCAGTCATTCATCCACCCCTCTAACAATCTATCACAAGCACTATAGTTGCCGTCTCCAAAATATACCTCAAATCTATCCATATCTCTCCATCTGCCAAGACGAAAGCCACTGTCATCTCCTGCCTGGCCATCTGTATTACTGCTCTCTCTGTGTCATTCTAGTCACTTTGCAATACATTAATCACTTAGCGGGGAACCTTTATAAAAAGTGAATCCAATTATGTCTCCCTCTCTTTCTCAGGTAAACTGGCTTCCTAGTCACATGCATTCCAAATAAACCCCTCAAAACTTTATTTAGAAAAGCAAACCTACAAGTCTTGAAGGCTCTGGTCCCAACCACCTCTCCAGCCTGGCAGCACCATCTCTGGCTTCTCACCAAACTCCTGGACTTTTCGAGTGCTTGAAAGTACCAAACTCTTCACACCCCTTGCTGCTCTCGTCTTAGCCTTAAAAGCACTGTCCCAACACTCTTCAGGTTTCAATGGAAAAATCTCTTCCTTGTCCCAAACTAAAGTATTCTCTCTTACTCTTTCTTCGTAGGACTCTCTCAATTTGTAATCTACATATTTATTGGTGTATGTGTTTATTGTCAATCTGGCCAAGAGACTGCACTGTAAGCTCCTGAGGGCAGAGAGCTTTGATGTTTTCTTCACTCTTGTATACCTGTCTCTAGATCAGTATCTAGCACAAAGCAGGCCCTCAAACAGCTGATGAAAGGGTGAAAGTAGGGCATGTCAGTAATATTGTAAGGTGCTTTTTTTTATTCTCTGATCTAAGGTTGACTTGTAGATACTATATACTGAGTGCTTGCTATGTGCCACAAAGATTTCTAATCCTTAAAACTCTGCATGGCAACAGACATTATTTAGCCCATTTTATAGATAAGGAAGCTGAGTTTCTCGGGGGATAACTTGCCAGAATTCCAACCCAGGTGGACTGGCTCCAAAGCCTGTACACTGCTCTACAATGTGGCCTTTCTTGAACGTCAACTTCCTATTATTAAGTGGTAGGCAAAGCTTATATAAATCTAAGACTACAAAGCAAAACCCACACTCACTGATGGAAGATCCAATAAGAAAATACAGTATAACCTGGTAAGTTTCCTTCTAATCCTGCTGAATCCTGATGTGTGGGACTGGCTGCCTTTAAAACGTCATTACACCCTGTTAAAATGCATCTTGCTAGGAAGGCAGTTCGGGAGATAAAACCTACACAAATGAAAACTAAAAGCTGCCAATAATAAATAATGGCAATGGTTTTCTAATATGCATTCTTAAGCAACACACAGCCTTTACCAGGATCATCTTCTTACATATATTTCCTTCACTGCCTCTTAACTATAGTTAAGAGCAAATAGGACACTTAATATTAGCTGTATACAACTGCACCTCCACAATAGTTTTCTCACAGGTAAACACCAATCCACTTTATTATTATTTAAAGCAAATAAACCTTTCCATCTTAAGAAAATTCCACACATTTTTAAGCAGATGTGTTTTAAAGGAAAGGAGTCCCTTAGGTTGACTTCCGTACTTAATTCAGTAGAATACCCACTCCAATTTCCTAATATTGGCGATTAGAGAATTAAAAACTGTACATTAAAAGCATTTGTAAAGATTATTTTCTCAGTACTAAAAAGGTTGGCAGCAGTCTTAGGCAAAACACAGCCCGAGTTAACCAAACACTAAGGTCGTTAGAGTCTGGAAGCAGTGAGCCCAATGGCAAGGATTTCACAGACCCCGTATTGGGATTCTCCGGCCACGGAGGGCGAGGAGGGCGAGGAGGGCGAGGTGGGCCCGGCCGCTGTGGCGACCCGAGGCCCGGAC